AATCATTTTTGTGAATATTTAAAAAAACTTTTATTATGTTAATTGTTAGGGATATACGTTAGCAACATATTCCTTCTACATTTTAAAAAATGTATTAAAATTACTATAATGGCTGTAAATGGGCAACTCAGAAATACAAAATTAAAGTGTCATGAAACAAAAACTCTTAAAATAATGACTTTTGAAATTGTAAAATTTTTGTACAAATTATGGATAATGAATCAATTTTAATAGTGGTGCCCTGCTTGATGACGATAATGCGTTCCAGCAAAATCGCTGTTAAGCGAAATCATCGTCAAGCAAAAAAAATCTTCATTGGAATGCATTGAAAACTGGTCAATGCCTTCCAATGGGGGAAATACCTCATCGTCCAGCGAAGATTGCCCATAGAGAACCGCTGATCAGCTGTTAAAAATTGCTATAATGTGAAGCTGCCATCCAGAAAGCAGCCATTTTGAGAAGGGAGGGAAGCCATTTTGTGGAGCCGGAAAGCAGCCATTTTGAGAAGGGAGGGAACCCATTCTGCAGAACTGGAAAGCAGCCATTTTGAAAAGGGAGGGAAGCCATTTTGCGGAGCTGGAAAAAACAGGCTCCTAATCAACGTAAAGCGGATTTCTCCCATTGGAACCATCGTTTTGCGATCGCAATAGCGGTCACAAAAATGTCATCGTCAAGCAATTTCGACGTCATGTGGGGTAAGCATCTAGTGGGGCACCACTGTATTGATTCTGTGCTTTCACGTTCAAATAAAATTCACTGGTACAAAACATTGTTATGGCTACTCACCAGAGCTTGAAAATGGGATCAGTCAAATTCATGATAATAAGTCTATCACTGACTACTTTTGATCAGTAACTACTAGTAATGACTCTTGGCTGGCTGGAATCTCTAGATTAAGTTTGCCATGGAATCCCCATTGTGGGAGAACAACCAATGGGAAGGGCCTGTTTGCTGTCACATTCTGTTCATAGGCTTCCTGGAGGGGTTTCCTTGGTTACTGTGAGAAACAAGATGGCAAGATTTGGTAGGCTTTAGATCTGATCCAACAGAGCTCTTTTTTCATGTTCTTAGTGCTTTTCAGTATCAGACCTAAAATTTAATGGTCATATTAGATGAACTGACATTTTTTCAAAAGATTTTTTTTCTTCCGAATGTTTTCCCTTGCTTTCAAAAAGCACTTTATTAGTACTCTCAGATTAAGACAGCAGTGATAAAAGTAAGCTATAGTAAAAATGAGTTTTGGTTTATGTGTCTGAACTAGTCTGCATTCTTGATATTGGTTCCTTTGTTGTTTAGTTGTGTCCGTCACTTCGTGACCCCATGGACCAGAGCACGCCAGGCCCTCCTGTCTTCCACTGCCTCCCGGTGTTTGGTCAGATTCATGTTCGTAGCTTCGATGACACTGTCCAACCATCTCATTCTCTGTCGTCCCCTTCTCCTCCTGCCTTCACCCTTTCCCAACATCAGGGTCTTTTCCAGGGAGTCTTCTCTTCTCGTGAGATGGCCGAAGTATTGGAGCCTCAGCTTCAGGATCTGTCCTTTCACTGAGCACTCAGGGTTGATTTCCTTCAGAATGGATAGGTTTGTTCTCCTTGCAGTCCAGGGGACTCTCAAGAGCCTCCTCCAACACCACAATTCAAAAGCATCAATTTTTCGGCAGTCAGCTTTCTTTATGGTCCAGCTCTCACTTCCGTACCTCACTACAGGGAAAACCATAGCTTTGACTATTCAGACTCTTGTTGGCAAGGTGATGTCTCTGCTTTTTAAGATGCTATTGAGGTTTGTCATCGCTTTCCTCCCAAGAAGCAGGCATCTTCATAGAATTGGTCAATTTCAGCCTCTTCAGTGTTGGTGGTTGGTGCATAAACCTGGATGATTTTCATGTTGAAAGGCCTGCCTTGGATTTGTATTGAAATAATTCTATCATTGTTGACATTATATCCCAGTAGAGCTTTTCCCACTCTTTTGTTGACTATGAGGGCTACTCCATTTCATCTATGGGATTCTTGTCCAAAATAGTAGATATGATAATCATTTGAACTGAATTTGCCTTTTCCCGCCCACTTTAGTTCACTGATGCCCAGGATGTCAATGTTTATTCTTACCATCTCCTGTTTGACTACATCCAGCTTCCCAAGGTTCATAGATCTTACATTCCAGGTTCCTATGTAGTATTTTTCTTTGCATCATCGAACTTTCCTTTCACTTCCAGGCATGTCCACAGCTGAGCATCCTGTCTGCTTTGGCCCAACCACTTCATTAGCTCTGGAGCTACTTGTCCTTATCCTCTGCTCTTCCTCAGTAGCATGTTCCTCAGTAGCATAAAAGAAGATGAGCCCCTTTCGACCTGAGGGACTCATCTTGTATGTATGTATGTATGTATGTATGTATGTATGTATGTATGTATGTATGTATGTATGTATGTATGTATGTATGTATGTATGTATGTATGTATGTATGTATGTATGTATAGATACTGAGAGAGATTTTTAATCCAATGCTGAAAATCCGCTGCCCTCCTACCTTCAGCAGATGGGAAAATATATAATTAAAGCTGATGTTTTCCCCCTCATAAAAAGAGATTATATTACAGCATCAGCATTGCTAACAGCAACAACACTGGCCACACAGTGTTCATCACATTCATCTGCCTGAGAGGCTTTGTACCATAGTTTGCTGGTGGTTAAATACAAAACAAATATGTATGAGTGAAATGATTCTAAATTAGTGTTTTTCCTCTTCAGAGAGGAGTTAATTGCTTCTGTCTGGGCAGCATTGAGAGATATATTTCAGATGTAAGTTGACAGCAGAGACTATCTTGTATTTAGGAGGTTCACCTGTGTCTTTCATTTTAGAATTATTTGGGTCAATGTCTTTTTTCTTTTTCTTTTCTTTTTGCTGTGGGGTACAATCCACCAAGTGTGAGTGCAGGATCGGGGTTGTTGTTGTTGGAGAATGATATGAAAGCAGCCTGACATTTCTAGGATGGAAATATTCTGCAAATACTATTCTGTGGATAGCATCCTCACCATGTCACATTTGGCTTTGGATAGTGTCTCCCAGAATCCTCCAGTTAAAATGGTCAAAGCTTTTTCAAGCTCTGGATCCATGCCTACTGCTGGCATGCAGCCTCTAGAAACTGGCTCCCCAGTGAATGTGGCCCTTGGTCCTGAAAATATTTCCTACCTCTGCCTGAAAAGTTGAAGTTTTGTAGGTGAAAACAGGAAGTGTGCATTCAATAGTGTGCCTTGGCTATCAGAAATATGTGAGATGTAGATGGTGGTTATATTTGTACCGGGCGGAAAAGTTGTTGGGCTGAGATTCAAGGCAAGCTTTGCCAGTGCCAAAGAGGAAGAAGGTGTGTGTCCTTTGACAGAAACATAAAATCTTGATTTTTATCTTTGCATGCTAAATGAGCAACAATAAAGAAGAATGTGCTGCTCTGTAAGACAATGAGATTGCTCTTTGGTCAACGTTGAGAGAATTTGTACACTTCCGAAACAGACTGTGTGAAATTGAAAACTAGGATAGATGCTGCCTTGTTGCAGGGATTTTTTTAAAGGAGAAGCCCTGAATAGGTTGTGCCTTTGTGAGCAATCACCTCATTCTTTTGTGTGTGTTGTGTGTGTGTGTGTGTGTGTGTAACTTTACAAAGGGAAAAGATAACAGACATTTTCTGCAGATTACAAAAAGTATGTTAAAAAAATTCTTAATGTCTTGCTGTCATCCTGGTGGCAAAATCTCTTGTGGAGGCTTGAGAATCTTCCACAGGCTGCCCCGCAGAATCGAGACAGCCTATCATGATCTTAAAGAAGTCATTGGCAAAATTTCACATCCTTAGCCCTGTATTGGAAGGGTCATGGGTTAACTGAGAGAAGATGTAGAAGGAGCCCCAACCTTCTGCCTAGAACGGCAGTATGTCTCTCCCTTTGTTAAATGGATAGTCTGGTGGATAGTCTGACCTCAAAAAAAGTAACTTTTCCATATTCAGGATCTGAGCTATAAAATGAGGTAGTCACACCTTTTTAGAGCAATGCTGTGTTCACAGAGCTCTTTTGTATTCAGTCCTCCTTTGAAGGGGAAAGGGAGACTGAACATGGGAGGTAGGCACATATAATTAGTAATACACCCTCCCCACAGGTGGTGCATGTTTAAGGTTGTAGGGGTGCTTCATCATGGCTGGATGCTTGTATCAGATTGTGTGGCTGGAATATTGCTTTACCTCTTCAGGACCAAAATGAGAAATGGATCAAGCATGAAACCATAGCTGGAGGATCTGCTAGGAGATAAGCAGCTTGTTCTTATTGATTTGTTTTCAGCGAGTGACAAAGATCTGTTAATTTTGTCCCAGCACTTGGTGAGAAATGAGAAGGTACATTGGCAAGATCTGCAGCAGCCTACAAAAATGAAACCTCTCTTTAACTAAAGCAGATAAGCCTTTTTTAAAAAAAGAGGAAAGAAAAGAAACAGAGAAAAGAACCAGGAGTGTGGCTGAAAATATAACACTTTGCTTTCGGCAGTCTTTTGTGCACTCTGCTAAAAAAAAATAGGATTTCATTTGCCCTGATTTTTGTGAATGGTAGATTGGGAGCTATCAGGTCTTGCTCTCATCACAATGAACCAATGAAATCCCTACATTGCAGTTTGCTCCAAGACTAAGAGTAAAAGCCCTCAGCTTCTCCAAGTGGCTTTCTAGAACAAATCTTTCACTGATGACATTATCCTTCCCTTCTGTCGTAAATAATCTTATCAGTTAAATGAATGGAGCAGGTGACAGTGCTTCACAAGGAGGATGGTGTTCCTGAGTAGTGAATGCACTTGTGCTGAACCCCCGTGTCTGCTGGCAGCACAAATGATGTGGAGGAATCAACTGTCTTGATCCTTGTTTTGTTTCCCACACTTCCCATCTAGCCTGATGTTCCTGTTTTTGCTTGCAAAATTCATTGCTGAAGCTCCAGGCTCTTGAAACTGATCTCTGTTCTGCCCTTTTACCAAACCAGGAAGAAAATCCTCAGCCACCAGCTTCGAAGGACCCAGTCCCTTCCTCAGTTCTAGCCAGCGTGCAAGTTGATGAGGAAACGAGTGGAGGTAAGAGGGTCTTTGCTAATAAGCCTTCATGGATATCCTTGCTTCTCCTTGGAAAGGCAGCTTGATGGGTTACAGCTTGACTGGATACATTGATAGTATGGATAGAATGCAAAAAGATAGAGACTGAGGCAAAAAAAATGGAGATAGAAAGGGTTGAGAAAATGTAAATTTGAGACAGAGTAATGAAAATGTATTTTTCTTTGTGGCACAGGGGTATTAGTTCTTTTGAGGAAGAAAAGTTTGTTTAGATAGCTATTAGAAAGGGCCCTCACAAATGATTATTTCAGGAAGGTATCGGCAATTTTGCTCCCAATTTATTTTTTGCCATTAGAACTTTGTCTGTTTCTTTCAGTGCGTTTTCTCTCCCTCCCCAAAACATACCTTTGGGAGGCCAGCAGGGTTTCCTCTGTGCACTCCTCAGGGAGGGGGGCGATGATAACTTCCTCAATGGCTCAAGGGGGGGTTTCTTACAAAAAGGTTAAGAACCACTGGTTTAGATAGCTATTAGAAAGGGCCCTCACAAATGATTATTTCAGGAAGGTATCTGCAATTTTGCTCCCAATTTATTTTTTGCTATTAGAACTTTGTCTGTTTCTTTCAGTGCGTTTTCTCTCCCTCCCCAAAACATACCTTTGGGAGGCCAGCAGGGTTTCCTCTGTGCACTCTTTGATTGCAAATGGAATGGCTCTGCAAGGAAAGTGAAAGTTTTGAAATCCTCATCTCCTTTGTTTATTAATCTATTGACTCTCTTGTTCATCAAGCTTATTATTTCTGTACTTCCCTGCTGCTGCCCCCGGTTCTTGCTAGAAATCAATTGTTGGAAATAAATGGAATTTGTGAACTGGGATTTATTTCTGTTATCTCAGAGTCTCTAATCACCCAGATGGCATGAGACGGATTCCTGGGTTCAAGCAGACGGCGAATTGCTGTGTACAAAAAATAGGTCATCGATAACAAGGCTAATAAAGCCAGCAGATCAACTGTAGGCCAGCTTAAAATTTGCAGACTGTGCGTGATCTCCATTAAGGCAAATGGGTCAGTATTTCATGGCCTAATCCCATGGTAATATCAGTAGATAAATACCACAACTGTAGCTGAACAGCTTATTTCAGAAGCTTTTTGTGCAGAGTCATTTTGCAAAGGCTAATCTGACTTTCTTTCTAAGAATCCCTTGGATCACGTTGGCAAGGCTGCTGTTTAGAGACGCATTTTCATATCTAGAAATTAAGTGGTGCAAAGCCCTAATTGTACTTTATGGGTGGACTGGTCACCATTAGATATACAATCGTGCCCCGCTTAATGATTACCCTGCATTACGACAAATCCGCTTCACAACAATGTTTTTGCGATCGCAAAACGATGGTCTAAATTGGGTTTTTTCGCTTTGCGAAGATCGGTCCCCTGCTTCGGGAACCGATTCTTTGCATTATGATGATCAAAACAGCTGATCATTGGATTTTCAAAATTGCCACTGGGTGCTCAAAATGGCTCCCCGCTGTGTTTAGGGACAGATTCCTCGCTATACAGGCACTGAAAATGGCCGCCGTATAGAGGATCTTCGCTGGACGGTGAGTTTTTAGCCCATTGAAACGTATTAACCGGGTTTTAATGCGTTTCAATGGGTTTTTTATTTTTGCTTTACGACGTTTTCACTCTACAGCAATTTCACTGGAACGAATTAATGTCGTTAAGCGAGTACCCCTAAAGTATATCTAATTGTGTAAAGTCAAAGAAAGCAAAACATACTCAGTATGTATAAGCAAACTGTAGAAAATATTCTACTATTAAAATTACCGAGTCGGGTCAGTTGAATTGGAAACAATAGAAAAGAGGGGCCTGTTTTGCTTGCAGCCCTGAATTGCAGCATTGTGGATCAAATATGGTATATTTTATGTGTATCCATCACTGACTGCTGAAGGTCAGGAGTTCCACTGATACTGTAAAATATTCATGTCCCCCAACTTCAGATGTTACGAGATCAGAATAGTAGCTGCTGAAAAAAGGAATGGTGGGGATGCTTCTTATTTTAGTTCTTGGTAATAGCCAAAATCTTTTAAGGAGACCTCTAAGATAGGTAACACAGGGGATGTTTTACTGAGATCCTTTGAGTTGCTTTGTAAAATTACTTTTTTTTTTTACAACTCCTTCCAGATTCCTCCAGCAAGCAGGTTGGCCTGCTTTCCCAACCTCTGCACTTTATGTACACTCTTCATCCTTGCTAAAGCAGATTGGCACAACAGGTGTCACATGCGGTTGATTGCATTTGTCAGGTGCCTGTCAGTTTGCCCCATTTTGCAGGGTCAGGCAGCATAATCAAGAAGATTCCTTAAGCTCTGGGGAGTATATAAGTTGATAGTTGAATGGCCATGGAGGCTCACAAGTTGCGACGTCCTTTACTGAGATAATTCTGATCAGAAAAAGGCAGTGTTCAAGCCTTAGTACTAATTTTTGTACAGTACAGGAAATTATTTTCTTTAAATGCTAAAGGTAAGATGTCTATCTATCTATCTATCTATCTATCTATCTATCTATCTATCTATCTATCTATCTATCTATCTATCTATCTATCTATCTATCTATCTATCTATCTATCTATCTATCTATCTATCTATCATCTCTAACCTTTAGCATTTAAAGAACACTGCCCCCCACAGGCTACACAGGTTTAGCAATCCTGGCTAAACTAGGGTTATCTGGACAAATTTTGTGCCCCAGTAAGTGGAATGTAGGCCTGTATCCTATTTATGGTGCTGGATAGGGAGTGCAAATTGGAGAGTGGTCAGGTTCTTGACATAGCTGCTAGGCTGCCTTAGATCTGATGGTACAATTTGGATCCAATCCTGAACAAGTAGACAGACATGGATTAAGAAAAAGCACAACAAAGAAGATTCAGACACGCAACCATATACTAATTTATCTGTAGTAATACAATACTAGAAATGATTTAATTTTTTGCAATAATTATATAATTTTATATTTTGAACAGAATTCCAGTGCTCACTTAGGTAGGGAAGTCAGTGAGTAGGCGCCTGCTGAATCTGCTGTCCATGTGCTCACCATGGCTGGGCAACTTCACGCTCTTTGACTTTAAATCATGTGTGAAACTGACAGGCTTTCAAATGGAGGACACCTTCAGAAGGAGGACTGTCCTTTGACTGTTCTCCAGATAGAAGATTGTTTGTTTGTTTGTTTGTAAAAGAGTACCTGTGGTTACCCTAACCAGGGCAGTAAATATAGCTTCCAATGGAATTGGATGGACATGAGCACACACTGATTCCAAGTGCCCTCTTTTGCTTCTTTCTAAAGCAAGGGATTGACAACTTGAGGCTCTCCAGGTACAGTACTATGGGGCTGCAGTGCCTATCAGTACTAGCCAACACGGCCCTTGGTGAGAAATGATCAGAGCTGTAACATTACAGCATGTGGAGAGACTCTGTTTTTGGGCTTTACTCCTTCCCTAAAGAAATGTCAAAGCTGACAGTGCAGAGCATCTGTTTTGTAGAAAGAGCTTCACATGTAGCAATAACCTCTACAATTGCACTTTTTGGAATATGTTGTTATTATTATTATTTCCCTATTTATTTTGTATGGCAAGTACTGTATTGTTTGGCCAGGGAATGTGCTGCAGAACAGTCAGTTCCACACATCGTTCCTTCCTGGCTATCATTCACAAAAGAGGAACTCCAGCAGAACCCTACAGGAGAGAAAAGTTCTGCTTCCTCAGGCTCTTTAGCTAAGTGGCACCTTTGAATGCACAGTTGTGTGAGACGAAGGCAATTCTTGGTCTGTGTAATTGCTAGCTGAGGATTACGTGGAACACTGTGCCCATGGAGCTATTATTCTCCATGGAAAGGATCAGGATTATTGCTTCTACCTCTAGAAGTTGCTTCTGTAGTTCTTAACATGTTCATCAGTCATTGCATACGTATACAGGGTTGTGTTTCTTTGGGGGGGAAATTAAGAATGGGTTCCAAGAGAGAGAGAAAATACATACAGATGTAAAAATGGAATTTTTTTGGGGGGGGGTGGTATTTAAAGGCAACTAGAATACTCTTTTATTTGAAAGAAAGGTGATTGGACTCCTTTTAATTTTAAATAATAAACCAATATTGAGTGAATTGTGCCAAACATTGTTGATTCAGGATTATAACTTATAGAAACTGTCAATCAGTACCATTTAGAAACTGAGGGGGAAAAACTAGGTCAGATTCTTTTGTCATGATGTCTGCCAGAATGTAGCATTAGCTTTTCCTTTAAAGAGATCTATTAGTAGCTCCCTTTCATAATTATATTTACTGCACATGCCACCTCTATTTATGGATTGCTTTAGCACATTACTGCAATTTTAAGAGGAAGATTACTTCGTGCATGCTTTACAAATTTTGAGAAATGGGTATCGGCTTTACTTGTTCTGTCTTTCATGATTACATGGCTTATTGATATTTTGCCTGAACTCCCCATTATGATAGAGGGTATAGCTATGCAGTCCAATGTAGAGGTTTCTAATTCAGTGCAGATACTATTGCATGCATGTCTAGATTCAACATGAAGTTCTCATACTTACTGCCCAGATGTAAGGACCATGACGCTTTGAAAAATGCCACCTCAACGTTCACTGCAACGTAACAGGTGTTGTTTAATACTGTCAGTCCACTGTGGGAATGGAAACAATGGGTAGAACAGAAGGACCCACCAGCTCCCCAACCCCCTGTAAGCTGCTTAAGAAAGAAAGAGGGCACTAGAGTTGGTTAGAGAACAATTAGGGATGGTCCACGACTAGGAGTGTGTGAGATATTTGGTTGTGTGAGACAAAAACTTCTTGCGTGATGTTCTGTCTATCCTGGGGTACTATTTAAGTTGCTGAGGTTGGCTGCCATCACGACATATCTCCCCCTATCTATCACTTGCTGTGTAGATACGTTGTTCTTCTTTAAGGTTTGTAGATACACAGAGTTCTGCGTGAACAAAGCTGTGACTTCAGCAGTGTGGTTCTTGTTGCTGACATGGAGGGGGTTCTGACAATGCAGAAGTAGCTCCTCTGCTGCAGTGGTAACGTGTGAATGCAGGTCCTGAGATAAAGGCTTCATGACTCTTCATACTTACCTGGAAGTAATTTTCACTGAATACTGCAGGAGTGGACCTGAGCAGACATCCATATGATTATGCTGGACCTCCTGGTTTTCATCCATATGACAGACTTTACAGACAGCCATACAGACTGTCTGGAGCTGCACACAGTCCTAAAATTATTGGAACATTTTAGTTTGTCTTGAACTGTTGGCTTAAACAGGTGATATCAATATTTTAAGTCATTAGATATAAGTAAAAGCTATTTTGCATATACATAAGGGTGTCAGACACGTGTTCTTCAAGTTTGTTAAGATGAGATAGCCAGGGTAATGAATTCTAAACTCATAATAAATTCCTGATTTGTCTAATGCAAAAATGAGGTAGTCAACCTAAGTGTTAAACTGGAGCAGAGGTGGGCAAAGAGTTGTTCTCCAGATGTGTTGGCCTACAAGTTCCCTACCCAGCAAAGCCAATGGTGAAGGATGGTGGGAGTTGAGTTTGGACAACATCTGGAGGGCTGCACTTCCCCCACCTTTGAAGTATGGGATCCTTTTGTGTCTAGAGCTGGTTTTCTTACTTCGGTACTCTGAAGTTAAGATAAGAGACCCAATCCAGATGAGGACCCTAGCCTGAGTACGGGGGTGGCAGTTATTGTCCGTTTACTGTTTTTCTGATTGAAGTGGGAGGGTCTCATCCTTGCAGCTGTAATTTGAGAGATGAGATTAGTTTGTTTAGATATATCATTCTCTTGAAATAAAAACTGTACATGTGGATCTGTAGGCCAGAATGGAATCCCAGCCAGAGAGCAAAGAGTTAATGTCTCTACCATCTGCACTATGAACTGATCTAGATCGGATCCTTTGTGTTTACTGACATTGGAGGGGGGATCCCTTTTGCTAGCGGTTTCCATTTTGGTGGTAGACAGGCTGTTTCAAGTGGTTACGCAAGAGAAAGAGAGGAAAAACTGGCTTAATAATGTTTTAAAGTATTGTTTAGTTAAGATGTCCTTAAGATATTTCCGTGAAGGACAATGTACAAAGGTGCTACAGTGAGAAAGACTGGATTGCTGAATAGATGAATCCAGACAAGTTCCTACCTGGATAAAGCCCAATTTTATTGATGAGAGGCAGGAACTCCCGTTTTTTTTCTTGCTCTTACATTCTGTAAAAATAATATTGCATTAAAATGTTAAGCCATATTTGAAGAAAGCAATATCTGCAGTTCCACTTGGGCCCCGTTAGCTTTTCCTTGCTTAAAATGTTGGGTAATGGCAACTTATTATTTTGTTCGTATCCCACAACTTGATCTGAACCATATTTAGCCAGAAGGAGATTTGAGTGAGTTCCGTAGAACTTCCTTCACATAAGGATACTGAGAATGGCAATCTAAAGTTTTATTCTATTCCTAGACCACATACTTTCCATTGTTGACATGACCTTCTCTTTGTACAAGTTGCATTCTTGTTCCACTATATTAAATAACAGGTTTTTTCCCTAGAGATTGCTGATGAACCTCAAAGTCTGTTTTATAATGTGCTGGGCTAATGAGCTTGGCCTTATGAATGCCTGTCAGATTTGTCTTGTTATTGCAGAGTCTGGACAGTTCAACAAAGAAGGTCAGGCAGATGCCGACAATGGACATGAAGACCATCATTTCTTAGGGACTAGCAGACTGCTGTATCACATTACTGATGGAGATAATCCTCTGCTGTCTCCTCGCTGCTCTATTTTTAGCCAAAGCCAGAGATTTAATTTAGACCCTGAATCAGCTCCTTCCCCACCAAGTGCTCAACTGTTCATGATGTAAGCTTATTCATATTAATATTTTCTGGAATCTCTTCTGTGTAGCCATTAATGTTTCTCTTTTATTATGTCTCCTGTGCTCTCTTGCTGCTTACTGTATAGCAAGCATCATGTTTATTGATGGGAGATTATTATTTTTGGGGCCTAGTTGCATAAACCAAACCCATGATAATTTATGAATGGAAGTAGTGGCAACTCTGATGAAAGAATCCTTGGAGTTGTATTTTGGTCTGGGTTCTGAGATTCCTGTTAAGCATTTAGCCTTCATTTACAGAACTACAGTTTCCAGAGAAGGCTGGGATAGAGGCTTCCATAATGTGGAGTCTAGACAGTGGCCCATGAAATGAGAATACAGGTGTTACAAACATGTACCACTTTTGTGAAATGTCTGAGGCAATGAAATACAGTGGTGCCCCGCATAGCGAGGTTAATCCGTTCCGGATTAACCCTCGCTATGCGAAAACATCGCTGTACGGGGCAGGAAAAGCCTATTGGAACGCATTAAACTTAGTTTAATGCGTTCCAATAGGCGCCAAAACTTACCCCTCCAGCGATGTTAAACCTGATTTGGCTTTGATCTGAACTTTCGTTAATTTATGGCGAATTGTTTTCTCCCCCATAGGAAAACATGGAGCTGTCAGATTTTGACAGGTCCATTGATTCCTATGGGCCGGAAAAAAAAATTAACCATAAATTAACGAAAAATCAGATCAAAGCCAAATCAGGTTTGCACATGACTTAGGGGGTCCTCTAACGAATCCAAGCATTTAGAACCGTTTTTGACCCTTCTAAGACACTTTTTAAATTGAAAAAAGAAACATCGTTAAGTGAAGCAGGGGACCTAAAATCGCATTCGTTATGCGAAGCATGGTCCCAAACTTCGCTAAGCGAAAATCGCCCATAGGAAACATCGTTATACGGTGCATATCATTTTCTTAAAAAACACATCGTTGTGCGAATTCATCGCTAAACGAGGCACTCGTTAAGCGAGGCACCACTGTATATGTACAGTAGTATGAAAGAACTCGTCCTAGTATTAAAGAAGTTGAGCTAGATTCTCCTGAGAGAAAATAAACCGCCCAGAGTAGACACATTCTAAATGGGTGGTATATAAATAAACTAACTAATCAACTAATAATATTCAGTGCCGGTTTTAAAAACCCAGAGTAGACACGTTCTAAGTGGGTGGTATGTAAATAAACTAGCTAACTAATTAACTAATAATATTCAGTGCCGGTTTTAAAAATTTAGTACAGGTGGGGCCTTACACACATTATCTTGCTTCTTCTCAGGTAGTCTGAGTGTAGCATTGCAACATGTCAATACTTCCACAGAAATTCAGAGTATCAAAATAACACATTGCAAGTAATAATATTAGTGGCAATGCATCACTTTTTAGTGGAGGCATCACCACTTTTCTTTTTCAAATAAAGTTACCTTCCTCTGTAGGGAGTAGCATTTCTCTCCCCAACCCCATTTTAGAGCATTTTCTATTTTAGATGGATTTTGTATCAAAAGGAAACTTTAAAAGCACTGTAACCATTAATGTACGGGATTACCAAAGACTTACCCTCCAGCATTATAGGTAACAAATTGCTAGGGGATTTACCTAATAAATTCCTTTGAGAAAGTAACTTTGTAAGCTTTGTAGAGACACCAGGATGCTTTCAGATGCTCTTGGGAGAAGGCCCTGCACTGCTCCCGTTCATTTATCCATAGTCTGCCACGTGGCACAGTTTTGTGCTTGTGTATCCAAGCAAGCTCTAGTGCTGGATCATGTGGTGGTCCCTTCTGGGCAGTGTCGTAGTCACAGAACTCTTCTGATCCCACCTTCCTTCTCCCCTTCCAGCATTCAGGCAGTGGTGCTGCCCAACATAGACTCAGAGAGGACAGCTTCTGACTTTATTCCTTGTTCAGCTAGTAACCTCATCCATGATCACCATGATTGCTCTGTTGGTGGTGCTGGAGGACAGACTTCTAGTTTCAGTGCAACCTAGCTCAGCTTGTGTCTATGCCTGCCATCTTCACAAATGATCACTGCAGCTGGCTCTTCTAAGAACACCTTGGTGTGCAGACATTGGCATATGATGTTTTGATATCTATGCTGGGAAGAACTTTACTTGCAGCTTCTTGCAAATCTCATGGCTTTCAGATGAAGAAAACCAGGCCAGGTTATAGCCAATCTCAGTTATCCCTCCTCTGTTCACTCTCTCCTTCTCCTCTTTACTGCTGCCCTCCCCCTATTTTCCTCCTCCCCCCATTATGGTTTAAACAGTCCAGGGCAGTTCTAGCTCCTGCCTTGTAAAATGACACTAAGGAGAAGCGTTCGCATAACTTTCTCATTCTGTAGGCCAAGAAGTTCTTCCAGAGGCAGCTGTGATGACTCAAAAGAACCACAGACAATAGCACAAGTTACAAAGCACCTACAAAGTCTTAAGAGGAAAATCAGGAAATATGAAGAAAAGTTTGAGCAAGAAAAGAATTATCGGGTAAGACACCAGAAGGCTAAGTAACATTTTAAAAAAAGGGTATATGTTTCTGCCATATATGAATGGGGAAAGGGCTCTTAGAAATTATAAGCAGATTGAGGTGTGAGGTGTGCCCAGTTTGGTGGGTGACAGATTGCACAAGGCTGGTTGAGATAATGTTTTGTTCTTGACGTTCTCAAGGGACAACGTCAGTGGAAATTTGCATTGTTAGAATTTACTTCAGACTGGTGCTGATGGCTTGCTAGCAGATGAGCTCATAATATTAGTTGACATCATAAAGGTCTGTCTTAAGCAATGATGTCATAATTGCCCAAATCCTGGTTTATCAACACTAAAAAGATTAGGGAGCACCAGTGAAGACCAGTGAAAGGGCAAGTAGTTAATGAAAACTTCAATATTTTTTACTAGGTGAAAATTCAGGTAAAACTGTAAAAAAGGAGATGTGATTGAAGCCTTGTGGGTGGAGTGTTCTTCACTCTCCATTTTTAGTTTGCTGTATCCACAGTCTCATTTATTCTTGTGAAAAGAAACTGTGCATATGGTTTCTCTTCTGCTGGTGGCAATTATAATACATCCTTTTGGGTTAAATTTATATGTGAGTACCATTGGGGCTGTAACTGTTGTTAGCGAGGGTGGTGTTATGTACATCTGCCCTGATTAATCTTTGCCTATTTTGCAGCTCCACTATAGATAGATACAGTTTGTAATGTAAGAGTCTCAAATATTTTTGAGCCAAGAGACCACATTTGGCATTTTGAATGTCTCTCCCCCCCCCCCCGCAAACCTGGCCCCTATCCTCATAAAATGCCAGACACACACAGTGGGAAAAAGACAAGAACAGAAAGAGGGGAAACAAAATATGTCTGTGAAGTAAAGCATGCAGAGAGACACAGGGAGACTGAGAGGCAGAAAAGAGAGGAGAAGGGAGAAAAGGGACAAAATAAATAGAAGTAAACATAGGATGAAACATGGAGGGAGAAAGTAAATGGGGAATATTGAGAAAGAGAGGAAATGAGGAAATGGAGAAAGAGAAAAGAAAAGGGGAATGAAAGCGAGAATGAAGGTGAGAAGGCGATAGAACTGGATTAACAAAGAAATAAGGAAAATTGAGTGAGTAAATGGAGAAAGTAAATTGACAGGAAGGAATGCACAAACCGAGTAAAACAGAGGTCATCAACCCCCGGTCCGTGGCCCCGTGCTGGTCCGTGGCCTAAGCCAGACTGTGCTGTGAAGACAGACCTCCTGCCCCCCCTGCATACACTCCTCTCCCCACCCCTGCTTTGTGCCCGTGCCAGCGCTGGCATGAGTGCTCCCCCACCCCTTCACGCATGCACCCAAGTGCCCGAGCGCCCATGCAAAGAGGTGGGGGAGCGCTCACATCGAGCGCCCATGCAAAGAGGTGGGGGAGTGCTCACACCAGCGCTGGCGGGCAGGCTCTCCCCCACTGCTTCGTGCATGCTCCTGAGAGAATGTGTGCAGTCGCACATACCTGTGGAAGGGCCCCCCGCCTTCCTCGGAGGCTCAGCTGGTCCGCAGTCCCAAAAAGGTTGGGGACCTCTGGAGTAAAACACAGCTCAATTGAAAGCAAGCACACATTCATATGAAGAAAAACAGAGAGGGGGAAATGTGTTTGTGGGAGAGAAACACAAAACATTGGTGTTCTCTACAAGTGGATACAGCAATTTTGCCCTCCCCCCCTTTTTTTGAGAATTAGGGAAAAGGAAGATATACTTCTGAAAAGCTTCTGTAGGAAAGAGAAACCCAGGGCTGTGTTCCCAGCCATTTTGGGACAGTACATTGTTTCCCCCTAACTGTACTGAAATATTTCTCATGAGGAAAAATTCAGAGAGATATCCCAGCCCTGCAGTGGTAGGCCACCCGATTTGATACAATCAAGGCAGAAAAGAGGAAAACATGATCAACTTAAAAAGTGGAATTGTAGTGCAGGATTTTAACACTACATTTAAAGTCCAGTTTTGCAAGAACCTTGGCCTAATTTACCTATGAAAAAGATTTGTTCAAACCCCTGGTAAGAATGGTCTGTTTGTCTCCCAGCAGCCCAGTTGACAGGGCAGGAAAAAGAGAGAGGAAGGAAAGAAGGGAAGAGAAAGGAGTGGGAGGAGGAAAGCTGAAAGAGAGAGTTCTTGCCTCTTGTGGGGTTTTGCCCTGCACTTTACTGGCGTTAACCCCAACAAGATTAAGCCCTGCAAGGATGTGGTTCTCAGTGGAAAAATACTTCTCTGTCTCTGCCTTAGACCCTAGCATTAATAACTTTGGAAGCAGCCTTGGCTTGTATCTGACACAAATGAAGGAGATCATCCTGTCGCTGTGCAGCAGGCCTAGCAACCAACAATGTTTTGACCTGATCTAGAATTCATATTTGCTGTGCATTGTTTCCCAAGTGTACCTGAATATTTGTTGGCTATTCTGGATTAATACTAGAGTGCATCTTGACAGCCTTGCCGGTCAGTGATGAGAATTGTGTAGGTAATAATAATAATAAAACACTAATAATCTCTCTCACGCACCCTTTCTTTCTCTTTCAGCCTTCCCATGCTGATAAAATATCAAATCCTGAGGTAATGAAATGGATGAATGACTTGGCCAAAAGTCGTAAACAGCTTAAAGGTAGACGTAACCATTGAGTACAGTCTTTTTGTTGTAGGGCATTTCCCTTTCACTAATGAGAGGTATTTAATGGATAACAGAAGAGACCATGTTGCTTACTCTACTCCAGAGTGATATTCCCCAATAGTCCTCAAAGGAAAGTGCAAATTCCACCAAGGAGAGCTGAAAGGCAGATATTTAATGTCATAGTGAATCTTTTTAGAAAGATAATCAGCGTTCTTCCAGGATATTCATACTATATATTCTAGCTGGTTTTATGTGAGTCTCAAAATCATAGATTTCTCCTAAAAATTCTGGGAATGGTTGGCACTCCTTTCTAAACAACCCGAATGATGTTAATTCCCTGTTTCTTTTTAGGGAGAAAGAATACTTATAACACCAACCCACTACCACCTCCGCTGCCTACCTACCCCTGCCCCTGCCATCCCACACCACTGTCCTCAGAAGCAAGCAGTAGGTTCAACTTCCTTTCCAGGAGCAAGGCCTGCAGCTTCTGGGCATACTCAGAAGTAGGAGCCAAGTGCGCTACTTCTGGGCAGAAATCTGAGCATGGCCAGAAGAGGTGGGCTTGGCTCCTGGAAGGGAAACACAAGCCTGCTGCTTGCTTCTGAGGACAGCAGTGCCAGCAACAGAAGCAGGTCGGTGCGAGGCAGCAGCGACAGGGGGACTTGACGAGTGAGTTGGAAAAATGGTTCTGAGTCACCAGTCAAGTGCAAGTCATTGTGGAAAAACCCAAGTCAAGTCCAAGTTGAGTGAGGGTCGTGATTCAAGTGTGACCCGACAGTGAATTTCAAGTCGCAAGTCCTCATCCCTGGCATCTGGGTTATGCCCAAGAGGGAGTGAACGTGTTATACTTTTTCCCATTCAAAGAACAATGCAGGCTGTGTCGCAAGACAAGAAGGTGGAAGTTTTAGGAAACCTTAAGTGACCTGAAAAGGATAGTAACCCTGTCATGGCATTACCACTTTTACTTTACTGTACGTGCAAGAAGTTTATAAAGTGTCCTCAAGTGTCCTTTACACTAAGACAGGGTGCCTTAAACCATTCTCAGTCTATTGATGATAGTGCTTCAGATACAGAGTAGGGAGGGGAAGAGATGGAACAGATGGGCTTAGGATTGCAGAACAGGGAGCTAATCACAGACTCATAGTGTTACAGGGTTGGAATGAATTCTAGTGATCATCTAGTCAGTTCCCTGATAAATGACCATCCAACCTCTGTTTAAAAGCGGAGACTACCACATTTCAAAGTAGCCCATTCCACTGTTCAATGGTGCTTTCTATCAGGAAGTTCTTAATTAACAATCAAAGTCTCCTTTTTTGTATATCTGTGAAGACTCTCAGTCATCCAGGTGAGGTTATCTGGAAGCTGAGTCATGGCAACTGGACTTCTTTCTTATTAGGGTGAAACGTTTTGCTACTCATCCAGGTATCTTCCTCAGTCTGAAGAGAGTTGACAGGAGATCCCTGATATATCCTCCACATTAGTTCACTTCCCCCTGGTCTGAATAGGCTCATTAGAAGGACAAAGGACTGGGGGTGAGTGGAAATCCCACCTCTGTAGCCCCTCTCCACCCAGAGGTGGGATTTTCACTCACCCCCCCCCATCCTTTATCTAATAAGCCTATTCAGATGAGTAGTGAAATGTTTCAACCTAATAAGAAAGAAGTCCAGTTACCATGGACTTAACTTTGAGATCTCCTTTCTTGTAATTTGAAAGGTTTTTTTTTTCTGTGTAGTTTTCCTGATCTCACTTGCCTTTCCAAAGCCATGGACTATAAAGCCAAGAGTTAAATACCCTCCTTGCCCTGCCCTTTTCTACTCAGGTCTGAAATTATGTACCAACTCTTGGACAAAATTACAGATTTAGCAGGTGTTGGCATTGTTGGAACAAATATCACCTGGACAGAATCAGTTGTTCAGTGCTTTCCCCTTCACCCCATTATTCTCCTGCATATTTAATCTTGTTTTCAAAAGCCTAACTATTTAAAAAAATGACTACTTTTAACTGATTGTGAATTTTCTGCTTGAATCTGTTGTAAGAAGAGGGCAGCCTGATTTGTCTGCTGCATTTGAGAGGCACTCCTTTGTGTTATTTGTTCATTTTAGTGACTTCTATCCTGCTGTTCAGTAAAATTCCCGGGACAGCTTAGAAAATTTAAATCACAATAAAGAAAAAGTGACACATAGGAAAACATATTCAAAACAGTAACATCGACAGGAGCAGCTTGACAACTACCAACTTCCATAAGACCACACAGACTGAATTGTCTAAAAGTCCTGAAAAAGATAACAAAGTCTTTGTGTGATGCCAAAATGACAACAGTACAGATGACACAGAGCATCATCTCCTCCCGTAGTTAGACCCCCATACTTGATTTGCTGGGGAAAACCCTGAGAATGGATTCTGACAAAGATCTCAGTGTTTGGCAAAGCACATCTGGAGACAGCCAGTCCTTATGAGTACAGCAGAAGAGTGATATCAAGCCTCTTGCCTTCCAGAGGTCTTTCCATCTTCTTTTGGCTGCCAACGCTTCATGTAAGTTAGGTGAGTACAGTCCTACCTAACTTACATTAAGCACTGACAGCCAAATGGAAATGCAGACATTTCTCCCATTGCTGGTGTTCTCCAAAGCTTTCTCTAAGTCAGGCAAAATCCTGTCTCTCCCTCACAGCTTCAAAGATTGCTAGAGAGTGAGAGAGCAGGATGCCTTTTAAAAAAAATCCAGAGAAGCTTTGGCAAAGCACAGACACTGTGGGGGAAAACACCTGCTCAGACTCAGGAGGCCTGGGTTTGAATCCTTCCTCTGCCACGGAAGTTAATGGAGAAGGTGGAACTGTTAAACCACTCCTTCAATGCCTCACTTATTTAGGGTTTTTATAAGTTGGTTCTGTCTTGATGGCACATAACAAATTTGAGGGAGGGAGGAGCAAAAAGATAGAGAAATGCATTTTATATAAAATACAATGTTTCTTTATGCAAAACACAAGGTTTGTGTGGAAAATACATGGAGGCGGGGTTTGTAGCATACACAATAATTACATGATTTTTTTTCTGTGATGGATTTCTCTTCATTCTGAATACATCCTGCATGGGGTGTAACAACAGAGTATTAGAGTTAAAAGTAACACTGGGGCAAGTGTTGTTTTCCCAGCTTTGTGGTACATGTTATGTCCCCCCAAGGAGTTTGAGGTGGAGACTTCCATTCTCCACTGTGCTTCCAGGGAGAAAACAGTCTGTATAGTCTTGGGGAAGGTGCACAGTTCCAGGATGCCCCCAGAAAAAGGACATGGTTAACCACTTCCAAGGGCTCTGTTTATTGACATTTTGGTGAGCTTCCATACATGGCTGAAGGACTGTAGTTTACTTTTGAAGGTTTCAAGTAGTGTAAATTATCTGAGCAATCCAATTCAGTGAGATGGTGATGGTGCCATCTTTCTGTGTGTGTGTGTGTGTTTGTGGTGAACAGAATTCTTTGCAAGAATTATTTTACCCAGTGTGTGTGTGTTTGTGGTGAACAGAATTCTTTGCAAGCACTTGCTTATTCATGTCCTCTGAATTTTCCTCACAGAGCTGAAGCTCAAAATGTCAGAAGAAGAAAGTTGCCCCCTCAAAAAACCTCAAAGAAACCTTCCTCAGGAGAGCTCCAAAGAGACTGTGAATCAGGACTCAGCAGGCGCTCCCTCGAGTCCATCAGTAGAAGAAACCATGGATGGCATGATGAAACGGTTGACAGAGACTCGGCAGCAGCTCAGTATCCCTGAAAACATTAAGGTATGTGATTTTCATATAGTATAACAGATGATTAACTGTTCAGCCTGTTTGTCATATGGTGAACCATCAAAAGCAGTGGGGGCTTCTGTGTTTTACTACCATATCCCATCAGTTTATTATAGCCTCACTATCAAAACTGCAGGAGAAGATATCTACCTTTTAAAAAAGGCTCTTAGCAAGGCTTGCATAGATGAGGTAGCAACATCTGTTTTCAGAAATATTTCCAGTTGTGGGATAGTGTGTATTACAAAGCTTTCACCGGGAATGAGGAATATACAAAAGAACCCTAATATTTAGATGGAGACTCCTCCCCCTCTGCTCCCCACAGGCATACATGATCACAAGCATTTCCCCTTGCTTTCCAGATGTAAAGTGTCTAAAACAGCTCATACAGATTAATAAAAATTTAAAAACTTCTTGTCGACGTCTTCTATCTAAAGGTGAAAGAGAGAAGAAGAAGGAAACAGACTTAGACAGTAGTTCTTAAGTTTGCGTAGTAGTTTGCATAATGATCAGCTGGGATGAAGACTGCTTAGGGGAGAAGGTCAAATAGTAGAGTGAATGGAGTGGCAAGAATATGTAAAAGAAATTGATAGTTAAGTGTTCCTGAATGGGCAGTTGTTGAAAGTTGGCTCCTTTCTTCTTTTAGGCAAATTGGAACATATTTAGGACTTCCAATCCATGCTTATTTCAAGCTCTTGTTGCAATTTACGGTTGGTTGGTGGGTGGGTTGGTGGGTTGGGTTTTGGGTTGGTTGGTTGGTTGTAAAATGCTTTCCTTGCACACATATGAAACACTATGCATAAAAATATGTGTGTTTTGAAAAATGCTTCACAACACTAAAATAGAAAATGTTTTATTCAGTGCAAAAAAAAAATCTCTTGGAAAAAAGGGATTGGTGGGGGGGGGAAGAAAGATGGAGACTACTGTTTTTTTTAAAGGGCATGGAAATGCCTGTGAGTCCAGTGCAGAAACAGGACAGAACCAACTTATCAATAAAAAACACACAAAAGAATCTGAATGAATTCAAACTTGAAGAGATATTAGAAGCAATACATTGAAGTTACAAACATCAAAGCCATTGATGTTTTGTTCTGATGAGTTTTATGTATTATGTTACTTGTTTTTTCAGAGGGTTGGGAGTGGAGTGCTGCTGGCATCAGGTGGGTCATTGGGGAAGGAATGTTCAGGTCTTTCCTGCTGCCCCAAGAGGCCCTGGCTGTGGAAAGTTGCCACTATTGGTAGCCCTACAAAACTGGCTCATTCCTTTTTCTGTAGTCAGCATGGCATCCGTGCAGACTGCCATAGCAAATGGATGCAGAGGGGGCAGGAGCAGCAGCACTTCTTCTGAAGGCAGGCTGTATACAGAATTGACTTTGTCACGAATGCCTGGCTCCAAGAGGTCCAGAAAGCCAAGTTGCTATTGGAGGGGAGCAATCTGCCGAATCCTGGGTAAAAAAAGGATTGGTAGGCCATTCTGCAGATCATTTCTTCATCTAGTGGCTTGGCTTCAAGAACCTCTCAAAGCCAAGGAGTCAAGAGAAAGGCCTGGAAAGCACCACTACTCTAGCTGCCTATGCTCCTTCATCTATGGTGATGCTAGCAGGAGCTGTTATATCCATCCGTAACAATGTTGCTATGCCAGCTCCTTCATGCCTCCTGGTTGGCAATGGTGGAGAAGGAAAATGTGATGGAAGTGGAACCAAGTGTTCAAGAAAAATAACATGCTGTGCACTGCTGTAATGCTGCATCGCCATACCTTCTCATATATGACTGCTGGTTGGTGATGGAAATACACCCTGCACAAAATGGGAACAGTGCTTTATTTCCCACATCAGGTCACAGGTCAGCCCATCTTTCTAAGGCAGCAACTTCACTGAGAAGCATTTGTTGGTCACAACAGTATAAGGTTATTATCAAGCTGTTAAGAGCAGAAGGCAAATGGCCACAATCTTGTTCAGTTATGCTCCTCACAAAAAGACTGCTGTGTGAGCAGTTTGACTCATTCCTTGTTCACCTAAGGAAGTATCAGTGCTTTCTTGCACAAACATAAGCCTTGTATATTTAAATGAGCAATTTCTGCTAATGGAATGGCATCCAGGGAGACCCTCTGTTAGACCGCCCATGGAGCTGTCCACTGTGCTGGTGCTGAACAAGATCACTGTGACTGTTTTTATTTATTAGAGTTTTAAAAAATGGATCTTCCTTCTGTTGACATAAGCGGCACCTCCTTAATTGGGTGGGGGCACCTTTCACCACAGATTAACATATTCAGCAGCAACTATTAATCTACCTTGTCACTTCTTCATGGGTTGGAGGGATTGTCATATGGAGAAACAGGCCTTTTACACTAACCTTTTACATGCACCCAAAACCTGAATCAAGCCATATTTTTCCCTTTCTTATCAAAGGGATTCTTTTGAACAAGGAGGACTGAAGACTATAAGACATTTTCAGGTTTAAAGCCAGTGTCCTGGATTAAGCTTGGAAACAGATAGATAACCAGCGTAGAATATCTAATATGGGACTGATCTGCTGCTCTTTGGAGCTAATTGCGTTGTATAGTCAGTCCACTATATTTCATAGTAGTTGACATTTGCAAACTAATACATTTATAAAAAGCATAAATGACAAAAAAAACCTGGTAGTTATTCTTAGGACTATGTCTCCTTTCGTGATTCAGCTGACTCTGGTAAAATGTTTTCCTTTGTGCTGTCTATCTCTTGGAATTCCAGTGCAGTATTAGTAAAATCCAGAAGAATCCCCAAGTTGTAAATACAAACTTGAAAGAAAAATGTCCACCCAGAGAACCCAAACTCTAATTTTACCTGTTTTGGTCAAGAGACCTCACTATGAGATCTAGATTCAGTTTCAGTTCATTATACTGCGTCCAATCTGTGACAGACTTTGGGTTTACTGCTGAACAAGTTTGATTGCCATCCATCAGTGGATGTGATTGCCATGTCCATAATGAAGCAGCTAGATTAAAATTATAAATACTCCCTAGAGGACCATGTTAGGAGAGCAGCATCTGGCTGTTAATGTTTTAACAACCATTTATTTAAATAAGAAGTAATTAGTTATTCAAATACTAATTATGAAGTTAATTTGTAGTCCAGCTGCCTCCTGGTTCCTATATTTTAACTCTGTAAAAAGGCAAAGTAGATTTGCTTAATGATTGGAATGATCATGAAAAACATTCAGTAATTGTATAAGTCAAGTCTGAGAAGCCAATGTGCAAAACCCTGTTCTGGGTAATAAACTCAGATTGCGGTAAGACAGTAGTTCTCAACCTTGGGTAACCCAGGGATTCTTGGACTGCAGCTCCTGGAAACCCTGGCCAGCACAGCTGGTGGTGAAGACTTCTGGGAACTGAAGTCCAAGAACACCTGGGTTACCAAAGGCTGGGAACCGCTGATGTAGGAAAATTAAGGTTTCACAACTACGTACTGCCATTATAGATGTGTTAGCATTCTCTCCTGACCTCGATTTCATTGGTCCTGAGTGCCCTTTTGTTGTGTGTGAAGAATGTACAAGATGAACAAGTAGTGTAAAGGTGCAGCAGCAAGCACACAAGTAGTGTCAGTTCTACAAGACTACCAGTTTAGGCTTTGCATTCCTATATCAAATCCCTAACCAGGATGAAGGAGAAAAACAATTTTCATTCCAAATATATTCAAGGTAGTTTGAAACTAAACTTTTTCTTTATAAACGGAAGGTTTGTTCATAAATTAATATTACTTACATGGACACACAAACTGAAGGTTTGTTCATAAATTAATATTATTTACATGGACACACAGATGCACACATGGGGCAGGCAACCTGTAGCCCTTCCAGTGGTCTTAGGCTGCATTATCTGTCAGCAATGGCTAGCCCAGCCAATGGTGCAGGATGATGGGAGTTCGACTGTGGCTGAAATCCTGTTGTGCAGTTGCACAAATGTCATAACTTTCAGAGATCAATAGCTTTTAGCAATCTTCCATCTCATTTTCAGCCCTGTTGTGCAGGAATTTCATCCTGTGTGCATGGGTGGGGTTCAAGCCAAAATTGGAGCTAAATGAATGGCACCACTGGCTGCCAGTGTATAGCCCCAATGGAGCTCTGTGTGTGCACATGCATACAGATCTTAGAGGAAACATGGGCCATAAGATAAGACCGTATCTGTGACTTGCCAAGTTGTGCATCTTAGTATTCAGATAATGGCCAAAATTCTGTTGCATAGCGTAAGCCAAATAATAACTTCTGGTCTCCTGGATGAAATGTTCTTCATTCTGTACTAAGGATTAGACAGTGTCCCCTTTTTAGGGACAGGATGGCATTATTGTTATATTGGGATGGTTGCTAGGTTTGTTTAAAGCTGTTGGGGTTTCGAGAAATACTTAAATGTGAAGGCATGAATTTCTAAAGAAAAAGATACCTATTCACTCTAATTCAGTACAAGTCATTGCCGTTGCTTCATATGAACTTGCAGTGTCTTGGATGCATCGAACGTGTAAGATTATACTAGTATTCCTTGTAACGACGAGGGGGTGCTGATACGTATTGAGCCTTTCCCATAAAAAAATGAGCTAGGAAACTATAAATTGCAGGGTGTATTGGCCAATTTATCTGTATTCAATGGTGCAAAAATCAACTACCTATTATTTTAACTGGTCCAAAGTGAACATGGCAGCACCTCCAGAAAAGTTCAAGGTGGGAGAGCATAGGACCATAGTCAAGTTCCTGTTTCTCCAAGGGAAAGGTGCAAAACACCTTGATGAATTGTCACAAACTATGGGTGACAGTGGCCCTTCATATGCAACAATTAAACATTGGGTTGTCAGTTTTAAAACTGACAATTTTGGTATTGAAAGTGAGAAACCCAGTGGAAGGCCTGTTTCTGTCTCTGTGCCTGCAAATGTGAAAGCCATCCATGACATGATCATGGAGGACCGCTGAATATCAGCCAAAAGTATTGCTATATATCTGAGAATATCCCGTGAAAGAGTTGGTGCCATTATCCACAACGACTTGGAAATGAGAAAGCTGGCACCAAAGTGGTTCCCTAAATTTTTGACAACCAAACAAAAGAGGAAATGTGTGGAGTCATCGGTGGCTGTTTTGGAACATTTTGCAAGAAATGAGTCAGATTTCCTGGGCAAACTGGTAACTGGTGATGAGACATGGATCTACTGTTATGATCCTGAGACAAAGGAACAGTCTAAGGAATGGAGG